TAAGACCTCCAAAGCACAGTGGATAATCCCCAAAATAGACAAGTGGGATTACATCATACTAAGAAGTTTCTGATGACTAAAGACACAGTTAGTGTGAACCAACAGCCCTCAGAATGGGAAATTTTTTTTGTAAACTATGCATCAGATAAGGGATTGATAATCAGAATACAAAAGGAACTCAAGCAGCTGTTCTGAAAAAAAGATGATCAACCCTATTAAAAGATGGGAGAATGAATTGAAAAAATCACTCTCTAAAGATGGAAGAGTGATACGGAGGCAGAGCATTGACGGGATGGGGAGGTGTGATGTTATCGGTTGAAGACATTTTGATCAACTAAACTGGTGAGAAATGTTCACATATTAAAATGTTCACATTGTAAGCTAAATAATGTGATTGAATGTATATAAAAATTTAAATAATTTTTATAAGATAGCATACAAATAGCAAATAGCCAAAAGGCATATGAAAAAATGCTCAACATCTCTCATTGTAAGGGAAATGCAGATCAAAAGAACAATGAGATACCACATAACCCCAATCAAAATGACTAAGATTAAAAAAAAAATGATTAAGTGCTGGCAGGGGTGTGGTGAAAGGAGAACTCTCTTACACTGCTGGTGGGAATGTAAATTGGTCCGGCCCCTGTGGAGAACAATTTGGAGATTCCTCAAAAATCTACAAATAGATCTACCAAATGATCCAGCAATCCCACTCCTCAGTATCTACCCAAAAGACAGAAGAATCCTTCATTGGAAAAGTGCTTGCACATCGATGCTTATTGCAACACTATTCAAGATTACTAAGACATGGAACCAACCCAAATGCCCCCATATGGATAAATGGATCAAAAAACTGTGGCACATATACTCTATGGAATGCTATTCAGCCATAAAAACCAACAAAACCCTGGCTTTTGACAGAAAGTGGAAGAATATGGAAGATTTACTGCTGAGTGAAGCAAACCAGGCTATGAAGGACCGACACTGTGTGTCCTCACTTAATATATTCCGAATGTCCGCTCTCTATTACTGAAACTGAATGTCTAAAGGATATAGAAACACAGTTAATGGACGTAAATACCAGATATAGTGTTTGTGAAAGAGTAGGCTCTGAGGAAGAACATTTAGTAGAAAAATAGAGAGGCAAAGTATTAATGGAACAAAGAAAAGTGGTAATATCTGTTGAAGATATTTTATAGTTTTATCAACTGTACTAGGGAGAAATGTTCACCTGTTGAAATATTCACTTTGTAAGCTAAATAATGTGATTGGATGTATAAAATAAAGTGAAAGTGTAAAAAAATAGTTATGGATGCTGAAGACAGCATGGAACACAAGGGTTGGTTGTAGGGAAGAGTATGGAGAAGGAAAGCAGGAGAAAAATAGGCATGACATTTGTGGGATGCAGAAATGGATTATTACATGTTGATTGTAATATGTATAGTATTCTCAACTGGACTAGTCTGAGAAGTATTTCATGTTAGGTAAATTCTCTTTACAATTCAAATGATATATAGCAAGTGGATGTTTAAAAAATAAGAATAAAAAAATGAAAATCTATTTGCTGCTGCTTATGTGGATAGTAATGTCTTTGTCGTGACTGATATACATGGTAATCATGCTGGAAAAATAAATGTTGCACAGTGTAAAGTTATATGTGTTTGAGAACAGCCCTTCTTCAAGAACCAGCTCCATGACTCCTGCAATCTAGCCATTTTGGGGGAAACGGAGGAATGAAGAGGTCCCACTGATAATTCAGCCTCCAGTATAGAAAACTCGCGTGGTAGGAAGATTCCTCTCAGGCCTCCTCTCTCTGTATCTGACTTTGTCTCTCTCTACCTCTGTCTCTGTCTCTGACTCCTCTCTCTCTCTCTCTCTCTTTTTTAATTTTTGCTTTTTAGAATTTTGTTTAAGGTGAGATATCTTTCTGGGCCTGTCGGCCCTGCCTAGCCCTTTATCTTATTAATAATTCCCTCTCCCACTCCTTACCCAGGAGAGATGGAAGGGAACAGAACAGCCCTTCTTCAAGAACCAGCTCCATGGCTCCTGTGAGCACACCAGGCGGTTTTCTAATTTTTGGGGTTTTTTTTAAATGTTTTGAATATTAATTTTTTTTAGTTTTATTTAAAAGTTTTT